GAATGAACAGAGCTGCCCTGTTTATGTGTTCCAGCCCGCAGTTCCGGTCACTCCGTGCACAGAAAAGAGAAAGAAGGACTGTGTAGAATAAAGTGCGCCACCCTGTCACCAGCCCGTAGCGTCCTTCATTCTGTCACGGAAGGAGCAGAGCTGCCCTGTCCGTATTCCAGCCAGCAACTCCGGTCAACCCGTGTACAGAAGAGAGAAAGAAGAAATGTGTAGAATAAAGAGCGCTACCCTGTCACCAGCCCGTAGCGTCCTTTATTCTGTCACGGAAGGAACAGAGCTGCCCTGTCCGTATTCCAGCCAGCAGCTCCGGTCAACCCGTGTACAGAAGAGAGAAAGAAGAAATGTGTAGAATAAAGAGCGCTACCCTGTCACCAGCCCGTAGCGTCCTTTATTCTGTCACGGAAGGAACAGAGCTGCCCTGTCCGTATTCCAGCCAGCAGCTCCGGTCGACCCGTGTACAGAAGAGAGGAAGAAGAAATGTGTAGAATAAAGAGCACTACCCTGTCACCAGCCCGTAGCGTCCTTTATTCTGTCACGGAAGGAACAGAGCTGCCCTGTCCGTATTCCAGCCAGCAGCTCCGATCAACCCGTGTACAGAAGAGAGAAAGAAGAAATGTGTAGAATAAAGAGCGCTACCCTGTCACCAGCCCGTAGCGTCCTTTATTCTGTCACGGAAGGAGCAGAGCTGCCCTGTCCGTATTCCAGCCAGCAGCTCCGATCAACCCGTGTACAGAAGAGAGAAAGAAGAAATACCTGCATTCTTACCCGTACTTACATTGAACGGTCGGCTAACATCTGGCGTCGCGGCGCTGCTGACGGCGGCGGTACTGGCGGCGGCGGCGGTGGTTTTACCTTATCGGTCGGCTGCGGCAGGTCGGAGCGGTCTGGTAGGTCTGGTCGGTTTCGGAGCTCGGAGAGAAGAGACCAAACGCAGTGCGTGCTGCTATATTTATAAGCGGGAGGCACCGCGTCATGTCGTCGTCGATCGGCAGCGCAGATATCAGCGGTGGGGAATTGAGTTTTTGAAGCGCGTCGCGCACGTCGGTTTGTACTGGAGAGTGCTTTGCAACCGAGGTCACGCGTAGCCACAAAATATCAGTAGCAAATTAATTTAATTAACGGAAACGCGGATAAATTAGTAAAAATCTAGTAACCTACGTTACAATATAAAGGCCGGTATTAGTTAGTAGTTTCTAAGTTGAAGATTGACTGTGATATGATATGATTTAGATAGTGATTATTGTTAAGAGTTGTAAAGAGTTTAGTTGTTTGAGTTAATTAGTGAAGTAATTAGTGTCAGAGTGTATAGTAACGTGGAATAAATTATTGTTGTGTTAATTGGACTTTGATTTTGCCATCCTTTTTCTTTTTTTTTAATTGTTAGTAACGAAAATGTATATTGTCATAATTATTTTTGTAATATCCTTGATTGCTTTATTTTTGTAATATCCTTGATTGCTACAATTGATTCGATAACGTTCGAAAACTACCTGGTGAGTTAAAACCGACAGAGAAAGAAAGGAAACGTGCGGTAGTGAGAAAAAGAAAAATATATTTTGGCAGAACTGGTTAGCAGCACCGAGTGCAGTGACATAGGGAAAGAGAAGTGTCAAGACAAGACAGGTTGTACGGGGCAGTTGAAACAAACAGAGAAGACCGACCGAGGGTTGGTTACCATAGTTAGTTTTGTTTGAAAAAACAAAAGGGCAGCGTGCGCAAGATTTGCGCTTCTGATTAGCGACCTACAGGAAAACTTGTGTGGTTTTCAAAAAGTGAAAACCAGAAAAGTATTCTTGGATTTCTTCGTGTGTGAGTGTGGAGAAAGCCACCTAATTTAGGGGTACCCCAGCAGAAGTACGTAAGTGCTTCTATCAACATGTGAGTTGCACAAACATTTTCTTTACGGGCCCGGAACTGTAAAATTTGACTTTCCAAAATTTTGATCCGTCAGTGACTGAATGTGTTTAGTTCAGGGAGATAATTTAAATTTCGGTTTATTTTGGGGAACATTAAAATTTGAATAATAGTAATTATTGCAATCAAGGTTAACTAATTAGATTCAAAACAGAAAATCCTGATATCAGCAGGATTTTCATGTTGTACCTATATTTTTAGATTCATTTGAATTGTTTGCTTGTTTGTTATTATTTGATAGTTAGGGATTTTAAGGTAAAATTTTTTGATGAATATTAGGGAATATTGTCCCTCTAATTATCAAGAAATAGATATTAAAATTGAAGCTTTCATAATCATTTTGGTTTGGATTTTCCTTATATATAGCCACAAGAACCCACTCGGCTGAATAAATAGTCGACTCTTCTCAAGAGGATGGTAGCTTCGAGAATGTTATGAGTAAGTTCATGGAGAAAATGAAGGAACTATTACTATTACTAGAAGGTAGACAAATGGGAAACGACACCAATGAAACACCAACTCCGAGAAACCGAGTGAAATGTTACCGGCGCCATAAGCTTGGACATATGCAATGGGATTGTAGACTAAGGGTGTCCTCTCCAGCTAGGGATCATTCTCAACGCTTTTGGAGATCTAGAGACGCCAGTCCTAAACATCGACCAGGAAACCTTCATGAAAATGCTGACGCTTTGTCTAGACAGACGACTATGCAAAGAAGACTGGAAGTTTCGTCAAAGTATCGATATACATGATAAAAAAACACTAGTCCGGCTGTGAGAAGAACAGGTCTGATCGTTGATAACAAATGGACTACCAAACAAATGAGAGCAGATCAGGAAGCAGACCAGGACATCGGGCAATTTCTACATCTTAAAGAAAATCATGAATGTAGTCCAGAATGGAGGGAAGTGTCGAACAAGAGTTTGATTTACAAGGCGTAGTGGGCTCAGTGGAACTCTCTGACCCTAGAAAATGGGTTACTGAAAAGAATTTGGGAAAGTGCCGATGGAAAATCTACTAAGAGCCAACTGGTTATTCCAAAAGATCGAGTAGATGTATTGAAAGAAATACATAAGGAACTTCAAGGGCACACTTTGGAGTTAACAAGACTTTGGAAAAAATCCGGGAAATTTTTTACTGGGTTCACTATCATGAAGACGTTAAAAACTGGTGCCGAAAATGCAACATCTGAGCTACCAGTGAAGGCCCTAAACTAAAATCTCGAGGGCCCATGAAACAGTACAACGTCGATCTCCCATTTGGAAGAATAGCGATAGATGTTACCGGACCGTTCCCTGAGTCAGAGCAAGATAACAAATACATCTTGGTTATCGTGGATTACTTCAGTAAATGGCCAGAAGTTTTCGCTATTCCCAATCAAGAAGCTATCGCTATTGCCCAGGTGCTAGTGGACGAAGTTTCCAGTCGTCTTAGTGTGCCACTAGAGTTGCATTCAGATCACGGACGAAACTTCGAATCTGCCATCTTTAAAAAAATTTGTGAGATCATGGGCATTCGTAAGACAAGGACCACACCTTTGCATCCACAGTCCGATGGCATGATAGAACGATTTAATTAAACCATAGAGGAACACCTGACAAAAGTGGTCGCAAAGAACCAGCGAGATTGGGACAAACATTTGGAGCTATTTTTATTGGCTCACAGAGCAGCTGTTCACTAGTCAACAGGTGAAAGTCCAGCCACAATCGTTTTTGGAAGGGAACTCAGGTTACTTGGCGATCTGATCTTTGGAATACGTATCTGAAAAAGAACGAAAAGAAATTCGAGATTATACCCACGAAGTAAGGGCACGACTTCTGGGGATACATGATTTTGCTCGGGAGCATATCCAGCTGGCCAGTGACCGAATGAAGACCAGATACGTCTTGAAAGCCAATTCAGCCGGATTTGAAGATAGTGATTTAATATGGCTGTATAGTCCAACAAGAAAGAAAGGAAGGACCCTACAGAATAATAAAGAGGATCAATGATTTAGTTTATCGAGTTCAGCGCAACACCAGGAGTACTCAGATGAAACTTGTACATGTCGACAGATTGACGAAATATCATATGCGTGAAGTTGATCGGGACCTTAAGAGGAAGGCATTATGGCGCCTTCGCCATACAGTACAGAATCTAACTTGAAATCTAGAAAATACTGCTTGCTTTATTCGGGCAAAGAGATTATCGCGTTTATTCTGGATTTTACAAGAATGGATTACAGATATTCAAGGGCCGGTATTAGTTAGTTGTTTTTAAGTTTGAGATTGACTGTGATATGATTTAGATAGTGATTATTGTTAAGAGTTGTAAATTCAGTTGTTTGAGTTGATTAATGAAGTACATACATAGTATCAGAGTGTAAAGTAACGTGGAATAAAATATTGTTGTGTTTAATTGGACTTTGATTTTGAGTAAACGGATCCAAGATTTCTATCACGCACCCCAGAGCCGTGACAGTATTGATGATTGTAGTGGTGTTATTTTGGGTTCAATTTCATTTCAATATTAGGAATTAGTGGAGGGAGAGAAATCTCTTCCATTTTAGTGAATTTCTTCATATATTTTAAGCTTGAATTTATGGATGATAGGGCGCGAATGAAATCTTTATTGCAACTGAAAATGTCTCAAAACCGATTTATTGCCAGATAAGTCAAAAACAAAGGTATATGGAAAAGAATACGACGAATTTCTAAATGAAGCGAGACAATCACTTTGAAAAGCAAGATGTTCTCTGGGGGGGGGGGGGGGATTCAACCCAAGTATTAAATATTTTTCTTGGTATTTTGCTAAAATTTCAGAAATTAAAATATTACAAATTTTCAGTGCTGGACAATGAGTGACAACACTGTCAAAATTCAAGTTCAACGTAGTGCTGATAAATTCTTTGTTTTTATTTAGAGAGTTTTCTTTTTTATTCATTCAAAAGTAAGGGTGCAGAAAATTGCATTTTTAGTTGCTTTATCCAATTTTGCCAGTTCCAGAAATCAGTGTAAGACCCCATTAAACTCGTTTTCTATCATCAATGGAATCAAAATGCAACGCATAGTTACTGCTCCCACAAATAAATATAAAATGATTTCTAATAAAACTTTATTTATGTATACAAAGTTAGGTAAGTCTTATCAAGCTAATTCAAATTTTTGAAAAATGGCATAAAATCTACTGATATGTTCGGTTTCTGATGAATGTGGCATCTCTTAAGCGACTGCGCAGCTAGAAATAGAAAAACAATAAATTAAAATTTGGGCTTGAATGCTGTGTGCACACTGAGCAGCCTGAAAGTAAGAAGAACCTTGTAGATTTTCTATAAGAACAAAAATGGAAGAAAAATTGGAATTATCTCTAAAAGTGAATACTAAAAGTATTTTCTACTTCGTCAGATTTTTATAAAAGAGTCAGCTTGATAAAATTCACAAACAAGTTTAAACGGCTTCTACACAAATTACAAAAGAATTATCTGATGATGAATTGATGATCCATTTCTAGATTTAAGTTGAATTCCATATTATAAAAAATCTACAAGATTCTCTGTGTTTAATTAAGTAAATTAAAATTTAATCACTGAAGAGCACAGATGAAAGTTTCAGTTGGAGATTAATATCAAAGAGGGCGTATTATTTACTTAATAACTCCGATTTCATCCTCATCTAAAATTGATTTCAAATATTTTTTGTTTACTTACAGCCATCCGTCTTAGTTTATCTTCGACAGTAGCAAAATTCAAAGCTTCTTGGGGCCAGTAACAGTTATAATGCCATCTGGTTCGGTTCGGCTCGTAAAACATATGAGATCCTCTGACGCCGTAGTCGTAATCCATTTTACTATGTTCAGGATAGGTGTAATATTTATGACCGTATCGGTCATGGTGTATTTCTAGGACCATATTTTTGACTTAAAAAAAAAATACATGAAAAAATTAGTTGCCTGTAAGGTCTAAAATGGCCAAAAAAAAATATCATAAACTAGGGGCCATTTTCCTAATGCTTTTAATATGATTTTTAAGAAACATCAGCAGATATATTAAGCGGAGCACCGCTGGAATCTACCAATAGACATAGTAGCAAATGACAAAAGGTTACAACACAGTTTTCGATCTCGAACATGGCTTTAGCAAATTCCAAAACGCGAATATTCAATTAACACCGCCACTAGACACTGACCAAATTGGAAAATTCTTCTACACTATTAGGATACACGTATATCGTCACATACCTTTTGTTAGCAGACCGTGTATACAACAAGTAAGTCTGGTCACTGAATGCTGTTCCAATTTTATTTATAGTAAAATTTTCTTTCAAATTCCAGCCTACTCTTGTGACTTTGATGATATATTTAGAATGATTTTGAAAATTTCTCGTGCCTTTTGAAACAACAGTATGATTCATACAAAAATAGCAAATATTATGCATACCACCAACTAAATATAGATTTCACATTTTATTAGTCGTATCTTTACATCTTTTTTCTTTAAGATAATTTAATGTAGAATTTCTAGCACTAACGTTTCCAACATTCCTTATTAAATTTGTAATCACAATTTGGCAAGACCCCGCCGCATAAAAATCTGCTAGTTTTTAATAAGCATTTAATTCAGACAGGCTCGCTTTCAGGTCAGCTAATCTAGGTTTATTTTCGTGTCAGATTCACGTTCCATTACCCCTGTACTCACTTATTTATACATATCTGTGTCGAGGCGGGTTAGATTACTCCCATTTGCAACACATTCATTAGGAATGATTTGAATGCATGGAATTAATTATTTCATACACAAAATGCACATTATTAACTCATTTCCATGTCTAGAACACATAATTAAAATTCATTTTAGAAATACAAAAATGAAAAAGAACATAGTGTTACCGATTCCGGTTCCACTAAAATTCACTTCATAAACCATAAAAACTTTTTTGAAATTGTCTTTATTAAAATTCACTCAGCACTTTTCGAAACATTCTTAATAAATTCCGAATATAAACTACTCTCAACCTTATTACTAAACAGAATTCCCAGAAAAGACGCGCCCCCAGATGTAAACAACTAAATTCGACGAATAGCCGGGCTTTCGTCGTGATTTCTACCGGGATACAGGTCAGCAGTACATATCACAAATAGAGGTATATCGTCGTTCCAATCATCTTCTCAACTACTTCGGACAGATGTTTCTCGATTGTCTCCTTGAAACTCTCAACCATGCTATCTGATCGATGCAATGCCGTCGTTCTGGTCTTGGGAATGCCTTTGAAATAGACGGGACTCGCAGTTGCGCCCTTGGTCCTGATAAAGTTCCAATGGGATTCCATTAATAGTAAAAATATTGTTGACTTCGACTTTCGCAACTCTAGATAGCGAAATCCTCAGGCCACTTTTTTTTTCAGAAAAGTGGCAGGGGTGCATGTTATTACATGGCAATTTATTACGGAGAAGACAATAATAAGATTTTGAGGAGGGGGGAAAGTGAATGGGTAGCTAAAAAGAGAAACAATAGAAAGAAAGTAGAAAGGGTTGGTTGGTGGCTGAAATCTAGAAACGTGATTTCGTGTATAGGGTTGCCGACTAGCTTCCAATACGGAGAGTGGTGTGGGTTAATTAATTAACTAAATATAGAGCGCCACCTACTTTTTCCCTGCAGTACACGAAATCAACCGATATAACGAAAGCAGGAAACTTCTACGGGACTATAGCAGCACAACCTGAAATATAAACCTAAACAAGAAGAAAGGACAAAAAAAAAAAAATGAAACGCTTTGCTAAATACAATCAGGTACGGGTTTTAATTAGAACCAGAACAGGTTGACTCTAGAACAGGTTCAAAGAAGTAAAGAAATCGCCTAGACTAGGAGTACCTAACCTATATACTCTAAAAATAGTAAATACAAAAAAAAATTAACTCGAGTCCCTTAAAGTAAAGAGTACCGCACAACAGCAATAATACCTGAAATATAAATGTTCAATATACAAGCTCACTAAATGCAGTACCTTCGTAAATGGCCATTTAACCCCAGTGTACAAGTATTTACCTGTATTCAGTGCAGCAATTATCAAAGTGGAAGTAACAATACGTAACCTGAAGGGCTTTAATATTATGTAACAATATAGGTACTATAGATACCTAGATACCTAATAAAATTGCAGTACCTAACCATACATAACCTGGAAGGCAAGTTTCATAAAAAAAAAAAGGTGATATAGATATAATTAATTAAAAATTGAAATAGCAACACATAATCTGAAGGATAATTTTTAAGGTGGTAAATCTGCGTTGTTGTGGTGTTTTACTCCAACAAGGGGTTGGCAAGGTTTGATACTAGGACAATACAACACACTTATCAAACCTGAGTAGTCCCTAATCTCTTGGACTCTCTGACAGGTGAGATCAATATCTTCCAGTGTTTCCAATGGCCTGGGACTGGATCAAGGCCGCAACAAGAAGCAACTGGCCCTGGGCACTAAGGCTTCCAATTGTCTAAAGGAGGCTGAAGATTGTAGGTCCTACTCGAAGTATACAGTAAGCTTTACGTATAATGTATAACTCTTTACTGAAAGTTAGGGACTGAAGCGTGACGAATACAAGGGGACATCTAAGGGTTAAGATTAAAGCGTAACTTCTAAAGGTGAAGATTAAAGGCCTGAAACAAATGGACGTTATGAGACAGGGCGTGGAGCAATAGGTAGGTATGTCCGATATTCGGAATTTAACCGTATAATCATAGACTTAAATACTACGAATAGACGTCCAGTGGAAATAGCAGCACAAAAAATGCCTCAATAATTCATAAGATGGCGCCACTCGTATTAAAAATTCAAAGAAAACTGTGCTAGCACCCTTGTGTACGAGCAGCGTGTCATTGTTTCCAGGACAACCGCATTCCGCCTTTTTTCTGATGTTTCGGTGTTGTCAAATTTATACGGACAAAAAACTAGACAAGAATTCTCTTTGCTATTTGCGACTTTCAAAGAAATAAATTATTGCTTGGATTTCAAAGAACTAATTTTCAAAATCCATTTAAAAAAAAAATCCATTTCAGCTTTCACTAGAAATAGAAAACTTAACAATTTACAAAATAAGTGAAATTTATTTATATTAAAAAAAAATCTTAACATTAACAATTTATTAATTTGCGTATAATATTTAGTATAAGATGCAGTAATAAAAAAAATTGGTGTCTTAATGTATGGTTTGGCCTATTTAATGATTTTGGACTAGTTATTTTAGAACTATTGGCAACAGCGTAACGCGCGAATTTGAATTATGACGGAAATGCGCGCCATCTCGTATCTAGCATCTAAAATACCAAAGCCTGAATTGAATTTGGAGGCTCGCTTTCGATAGCGAGCCTCCAAATAGCGTCGCAGATTTTTACCAATTGACTGGACGTCTATGTCTATTCGTAGTATTTAAGTCTATGGTATAATTAACAGAAACTATGCTTTTACATAGGAAATAGAGAAACAGAGAAGATTAATAAGAAAAACCACTTACCAAAATTACTTTTGGCCTTTAGGAACAAACAAATGACCACGTTGCTTTTTCGACTCACAAAAAAAATCTGCACAAGGCGATTGGGTGCTAAAATAGCGGATTAGCCACCCTAGATCTATGAGCGAAACTTGGCAACTCAGAAATCGGCAAAATGTGCCTGAGGAGTTTTCCCAAAACTTAATCGTGGAAAGTCCTCAACCTGAATGACCTCTGATTGTCCCTGCCATGTCCTTTAAAATGGTTCTGTCAAAACTCCAAGGTGGAAGGTACTGGGGAATTTTGATGGTAGTTGGGGCATGGTACTTATTCAAATTAAGTTAGTACCGGTCATTGACTCTATTTGGAGCGCTGTCAATCTAGTCAATCTATTCCGATCAGACATCAGCTGTTCTAATTGTAAATATTGTAATTTTGTTTGTTAATAAATTACCTAGTTGACTATTTATTTTAACCCTACTAACAGGAAATCAATTCCATTAATAAACCTCTAACTTAATGATTCTGGGAAAAAAAATAAAAAGTTTGATGAAGAAAATTGGCTACAACTATTGGATAGAAAACAGTGGCTTGAGGAAGGTATGCTATTCAGAGAGGTGAATAGGCTTATTTCCTTTTATTTTGGTGCGGGAAAAATCATCCCGTAACAATGTGATCACTTCTTTTCCACATCATTTATTTGAAGAGAGCTCTCATTGCTCCCTGGAAGAGAGTTGTATTTCCACGGCTTCACTCCACTGGTTGCAACACCACCTCTGAGTTCAAGACAGCCAGACCACCCATTCAGTTTAGGACTTTAAGGTCTTTGAGTGGAAAACATCAAGCTCTTCAAACAACCTTTTTGTATCAGCATTCTTTATCTCTGTTCCATTGTCTGACCTCAAACACTTTATTTTTCTTTCAAATTGATTTTCAGTCATCTTCATGTAAATATTTAATTTGGAAACAGGAAACAGCTTCATCTTTAGTTCTGAGAAAATATACTGTTCGTAAATGTGAGAAATCGTCCTTAAATAAAGGAAAATATTTGGCTCTTCCTAATTTCCCATTTCACATGAGTCAACATGTACTAAATCTAAAGGTTTCTCCGCAATTTTGGGTTTTTTTAAGTGACTAATTCTATGTTGCTTTCCATAAACACACCCTGGACATAATCATTCCAGTCATCAACATACTTTATTTCATTTCTTTTCAAGATATCTCTGACATACTTGATATGTTGATGAGCTAGTCTTTCATGCCAAATTTTGATAGAAACAGTCATTAGACATTTTTCAAACTTTCTACACAAATTTCCATCCCTTTCACCAATAGCTGCAATATCATCATCATCTGGATTTTTAAAATAGTTATTTTCCTAACAAGTGCGCAAAGTGTTACTTTTCCGCACGCAAACACAGTTATACGAACGACGCGAAGCGGAGTTCGGATACGTGTTTGCGTGCGGAAAAGACACTTTGCGCACGTGTTAGGAACAAAATTTTTCCTACGAGCTTCATATCAGGTAGGTAATAACAAAAATTTGAAAAAAAAACCGATAATTTGTTTAATTATTTTTAATTAACTTGAAGGGAACCTATGCATTTATCAAAAAATTACATAACAAAAAAAAATAACAGAAAATCCTCGTCAGAGCTGTTCATCTTAAAGCGTTTAAATTTGATGAGAAAGTTTGTAGATTTTTGCATATAAATAGAGAACAAATCTGATGTGTCAAAGTTAATTTATAATTGGTGTTTGTATAGATGTTGGCTGATATAGAAATAGAGGAAAAATTTGTCATCATGTGTCAAAGTCGACAGGTGCACTTATTGTTGCTTGACAATTATAATTACTTTTCGGCACTCAGTGCGGATAAGGCCTGTATCCGCACTGAGTGCGGAAAAGTGTAACTTTGAGCCCGGAAATGCGTGCGGAAAAGTACTACTTTGCGCACGCTCGTAGGAAAATAGATTTTCCGGATCTGCGCATTGCATATAACCTTTATCTAAAATTTGAGTGACAGAAAAAAAGGTTAAAAGTCATCTTTGGAACATACAAGACATTCTTGAATATTACTGGATACCAATCAGTTCCATTAAAAGCTTCGAGTTCTACAATTTCTATTCCTTCCAGTTGAGTAGAATCTCCAATAATAATCATGCTGGGTACTTCAAGTTCAACAAAGTTTGTTAACCAATCCATACGAGAGAGAAGTCATATTATGTTGTGTGGCAGCACAATCTTGCTACCACAAATCATTACAATTTTGTTCAGAGTTTATGTGTTTCATATTTGCAGACGACAGACCAA